ATGCATTCTCAGCGCCACCATCCTTGCCACAATCAATGAATCTACCGCCGCAAACGATTCTGCGGTGTTTGTTGAAAGCAAGGGAGCACACGACTTAGTATCCCCACTAACTTGCCTCCCACCGCATCGAGCCTGCGCTTGCATTAATTAAGTTGAAATCCAGGAGCGCGTTGATGACTTCCATTCAGATTTCACTGGGCAACTTGCTGGACTGGAAATACTGAACGTAATGCGTATATTTCATTCGTCTCTTACTGTACTGCTGAGACCTTGACATGATAGAAATCCAGCGGTGTTGTCAGTCTTCGCCGCCCTTAGGGCCCCCTGATACATCCAGTACACCCAGAGCCGGCTTGCTAACAGGCCTCTTTCCATAGTCATCACGTTTCGATCATTGCTCCTAGCCCTGTTCGAATGACAGTGCTACACAATCGTCACAAATACACAAGTCATTTCTCGGCCTACCCGAAACCTTCAAAGGAGTGTAGAAATGATACCCGAACCAAAAGAAGAAAAGAAAACAAATGAAAATGTGAAAGCTGGCGCAGGCAAGCTATACAGCCAACTTCCAACTTTGGTAACAAGGAAAATGGGCGGCAAAGCGAGCAAACGTATGATAGTCGAGACCTGCAATGTGAGGCCAGACATTCAGGATCAGAGCCAGCGGATACGACTTATATCCACTCTTTTAAACGTATGAATAATGGCCGATGTGAAGCATGGTTGATGCTTAAACGACCAAGAAGAGCGTTCGAGCACAGGACAAGCCCGGCTCGATGATGAGGAATATGATCTGCACTTATAAGATATTAAGGGCAGGAGTTTGTTACTGAGCAAGGGGGTGATACAGACAAAATGAGTTTGGCGCACCGAAACAGCCTAGGGCGAAGGGCCTGGCAGAGGCCACAAAGGGGGAAATGATCGGAGAGACAATGGAAAGGTAAGAAAGATGATAGTAGTGTGTACCTCTTCGGTTATGAAGGGGTCAGATTAAGTAAAAAAGGTGCCTACCTAGGCATGAGGCTACCCAGCCAAGGCACATCCGATCCGTAACTGTTCACAGGGGCATCTTCTGGCGCCAGATTGGTAAGAAATACTGATCGTAATTTCATTCCACACTCGATTTACACTCATTGCCGGTCCAGCCTCAAAAAAGCCTGTGAACACAACATGGAGGAAGGGGGCGTGTGGGCAGCGAGTGCGGCTCATTTGCGTACCGTCGTCCGCGAACCATGTGAAGTGGCTCTCATGAATGAGCTGAGGCTCAGTGAAACCTCATGCGTCGGTTGCCACACACAGCATCTGTGACACTACTGGTTGCTCAAAGAGTAGTTTTCTCTAGACTCAGTCATGAGACAAGCTCTCTCGAGAGTGGTCTAGCATTGACGTCTCAATATTGACCACGATCCTCAAGCGCACGAGAGTGCTAAGAATGACAGCAAGCTGGATCTCGAAAATGTAGATTCGATGAGTGGCGGCCCAACATTAGGCACCCGGCAGCCTTCGTCGGTAAATTTTGGGAATTGTAATTGTAATTCATGATGATGGCCATTGATTCGTTGGATAAAAGCTGACATGTCGTACCTACGCCAGAGCACTACTGCAGGCTCTGCTCCATGAGGAAATCACTAGCCTACCTAGTATGTTACAGCAGCTTCCCAATCCAATCGAGGAGTATCTTTACCAACACCCGTGCTGTGCCTCGAAGTGTAATTGCGCCGCCTTTGGAATTACACTCTGTCCGATGTCACGAAAGGTCGGTGACACAACATGAGCCCCATGCCGGCCTCACATGCACCGTTTTCGTTTGTGAAATCATATGCGCCGGTTCGAGCTTTAGGGCGGATCGACGTCAAATAGTCTAGATTGTCATCGCTTGATCGAGCTCCCGCCAAAGATGGCATGGCATAGTCGAGGTTCCTTCCCACATAAGAATACAATGCCTCCTGAACAAGGTCATGGGCACGAATCTATGAAGGGGACTCACATCCGCCCACCGACCATCGTTCTCTCAATGCTGTTGAAGTTATCACTCGGATGCTGCATGAAAAATAAACCGATTCGTAAGGTATCTTCCGTTCCAACTTGTCATTCTGGTATTAAGATCAATACATGAAGGCTGAAATGTCAACACAATATCGTACATGTAAATCTCGAGGATTCGATCGACGTCATTGTACGAGCAAAGACCATCAACAGTTTGGCCGTAGATCATCAATTAACACGAGAGCCCGGAAGCCATGGCCCTGGAATCAGCACGGAACTTGTGCCTTGAAGAAGAATGCGGACAACAATCGAGTCATTCTTGAGAAAGAAATATCCCGGCCGTTAGACTTTGGGCTGAACCTTGGGAATGCAATCAACCTCGGAGTACTTTCGAGACCCCAACGATTCGAACATTCGGACACTCCACGGCTGGTCGGTGTGAAAGAGGCAGGGGTTTCTTTTGAGTTGCAAAACCAACAAGAGGCCTCGCGCATAAGCCACGATGCCCTTTGGTCAGATAGAGCATTAGGAGAAGGTTGCACAAGTGTTGTCTCAAGGAACTCCAACTTTGTGCCAGGCACAGGGAATACGACCAGCTCTCAAGGCTCTGATGTCCTGCTTGAAATTCCAAGAGAAAGTACTGAGGTCGGGCCTCAGTTAGACCCGCCCTCACATGACCCAAAGCCCAACCGGGCGAGAATCGAAGGGTCGGATTCGGCTGAATTATCAGGTCGGATATTCCCTGCAGATCAGACATCCGAATTTGATGAACACATTGACGACAGTCCAAGAGGGCTGAGCTGCGGGCACGTGGCTATCGACTACGAAGCTGAATTCGACGGAAAGCCTTTAGAGGAATTACCACAAGCACTGAGGGACTTTCGGGAACACCCTGCGCACAAGTTTTGGACATGGTCTCCGGAGCTGCAGCAATGGTTTCATAACGAGGAGGATGGTTCCCGCATATTTTGTCCTGAAGAATTGAATTGAACACATCAACAATCTGTTGTATCTCGTGTCGTTCGATTGTAGATATATCTTACTGCACAGCCGTTTTCAATACGTTAACTCATTGTTATCGGATTACCACCCTTTGAGTGACTACGAAAGCTAGATGTTTCAGTAGACTAATTGCACAACCCACTATATTTAGACCTAGCCTTTATCTACATAGTCAATATGCTACTGGCATAACCTTAAAATCACCCTTTAGGAGGCAGTTATTATGTAGCTAAATCCTCTTGGTAAGAGGAAGCGCTGGAGAACGAGAAATGCCAGGTGGCCCTACGGAGCTACTAATCAAGGGGTCGGTCAGAGGCTGAGGGGTTACAGAAACGTACATTCATGACTAAAGAGGGCCCTCTAGGCTACAGAGGCTAGAATTTAGGTATGTTCCGACCCCCTACCTACATTTTGAT